GGGGGGAGAACATGAGTGGTCCGAAGTGATTGTTTTTATCATTCTGAAGTCATGGAATCACATTGATAAATCTATAGTTGGAGTTGGTTAAAGTCTTGTGTTGCAGGTTGAGAATGCACCAGGTGTGTTCAGTACCAGCCTCGGCTACTTGGTCCTTTGAATTAGTACTATTTCATCCGACATTCGGTGTGGCTGAGCCCACAAGCTCCCCATGAGCCGAAATGAGTCGAGTAGAGCGATGCTCAGCGCGAGGCCACTGGGTTGACTGCCTTGGATGCGCGGGAGAATGACTTTGACTTGATGGGTGTGCAGATCGAAGCCTTGAAGAAAGGCGTCGTTTTTCAGACGCGTCGCTGGGAGTTGGATTCGGCGAATTGCGGAGTTCGATCCGAACACGAAAGGAGTGCGAATAAATCGCAGCATGTGGCCTGCTGGATTGCTTGTTCACTGATGTATAGGCTTCTATTTCAATCCATGAATCGGTCGACTCGACAGATTTGCTCAGCCCTGGTCCAACGGCTCAACGTTCGTGGTTGACGACCCTAAAAAGGATGCTGTTTTCACCAAAGTGGGAACCATGCTGGTCGTCTTCAGAACAACAAATGCAGCCCCCCCCCCCGAATTCATATCTCGAGGCATCCAAAGACATCCAAAGACCATGTTTTTTGGAGAAACAAACGAGTCTTGAGGGGGGTACACAATTGCAAAAAGCATCGCCGAAGTGATCCAGTGATCCTTTCATCCATCATCTCCCAAGAACCTGTTCCAACTTCAACTGACCTGGATAATATGGCTCCGTGGTGTATAGGTAAGCGTTAGCGTTCCAAGACGGAGCGGTGGACTGAGTAGATAAAGAACATAATGATGATTGCCAATCTCTCGGGTGGAAATCACTCACGGAATAGGCAAGCATCTCAACAATCCACTGAATGCTGGATAATGCTGGATATATACATATACATAAATTCTTAAAGCGGCATAAGGCTGATTCGTCATTTGGTGTCACCATGATGTGAAAGCTCGTTTTGAAGCAGACACCCGGTGTCACCATGTTGGTCTAAACTCTAGACTCATGCTGCACTGCGAGTTCATAAGGCACGTATGATCCTATGGAGCAGCCTGAACAGTTTTCAAACCACCTGGGATGAATTGAAGACCTGTGTTTGTTTCAGGGTTGTTCTTTGGCCCAAAGTCTGCCGGTAGCGGCCCGCACGGCCAGACATGACAAGCCAGGCAAGGCGGTGTACAAGCCTATCTACAACCATGACACTGGCAACAAGGACTGGGTGATGCTATTTAGAAGCTCTATTGTTGTTCTCAGGGCTCTATGGTGCATGTTTTGTCATGTACTCCGATCCGGTGCCAGGTTTGTGTTTGATCAATCCTGGTTTGGCCAGGTCTGCAAGTCATACGGCCAACGCGTAACGCATGGGTGACTCGGCTCCAACGGCCGAGACGAGGCAAGACGGACGGCTGTCGGACCTGTCTCGTAGGATCCTCCTGAGCTCATTGAGCCCAACAAGATCATGGTCTTCGAGGGACTGCACCCCATCTATGACGAGAAGGCACCGGTTCCGATGTTTAGTGTCGGTTGATTGGAAGTGAGTGAGGTGATTTGTTGGTGTAGAAGGATGAAAAAAACGGACTTGGGATGGATTGGGGTGACAATCCTAGGCACTTTTTATGGGTTAGAAGTCACTCAAGAGAACAACCCCCACACACAC